CTTTCCTGGGATATTCTATTAGATAGGAAAGTGAACAGAAATAAAGCAAAAATAGGACGCCATTCCCACGAAGTAAGTACGCCTATGGAGTACCCTTTCTAGGGATTTTATTATCTCGATGAACCGATTCATCTCGTGTAGATAAAACCAAAAAAGAAAAATCCAGCAAACCGAACCAATGATGATGTGATGACAGATTTTCAATGGAAACCCACTGAAAAATCATAATGATATGATCATTATACATCGTCTATTCGCGTCGGCTGACTTGGCTAGCACTGGTACGGCTTCTCTCATCTTCTTCCAAAACATCACTAAGACGAGTTGGATGATGATGACGAGGAAAGGACTCCCAGCCTGCACCTGAGCCACCGGCACCATATCCTGATCCTGTGTAATCGACTGGGGCAGCGGGGGCAGAAGTTGGGTTGCCGGCTGTGCTATTTGTTGGACCTTGTCCGTACTCAACGCCAGCCATTGGGATTGGAGGTCCAGTAACTGGAGCACGACCTTGACGGTGTTGACGAGGACTATGCTCATACTCAGCCGTATCATCATCAGAATCGTCATTTGAGTATGGAATTCTGTTCCCAGCAGCGTCAAGAACATATCTTCCTTGCTCATCAACCTCATATTCCTCATCACTGTTTGATCCATCATACTGTCCTTCGGTCCTGCCGGTTTGAGTACTTGGACGACCTTCAGGTTGTTGATAGTAAGTATTTGGGGAGGCAGCTTGTACTGCTGGTGCTTGAGATGAAGATGGTCCGGATGTTGTGGCAGCTCCTCGACGCTGACGAACATTGTCAGTAAATGGATCAGCGGGTTCTGCACGTTGAGAGCGCTGATATTGTTGGTAAGCTTCATTCGATCCAGCTGGACTCTCAGGATCTGCGAATCGACCTCCTGTGCGCGCACTTCCGCTTCCACTTCCAGAATCAGAAGGACCTCCTTGTCTTGTTGGAGGAAGATCTCGAGCGGCTGTGCTTCCATGACGACTTGGTACACCTTGGATCATTGGAACAACCTGGACTCCACCCAACAAGGTTGGCTGACCTTCTCGCAAAGAGATTGTTCGTTCGCGTTCCTCCGTCTCACGACGACCAAGTTCGTCCCATGCTCTACGAGCCTCACTTCTAGCGATCTCCAGCTCTCTCTTCAACTCAGATATTACTTTATCAGAATGATCTTTGCGTCTGGATGCCTCAACAGCGTCCTGAATAGCTTGAGCTCTGGAATTACGCTCATCCTCCAATTGCTTTGCCATAACTGCCAAGTTCTCTGTCGCACGTTCCTCTTGTTCTCTTGTCTCAAAAAACCATCTCTGAAATTTGCGCTCAGAGGAAGCTCGTAAACGTTGTAATTCGACAACAGCATGGAAAAGATTTGCGCCAGCAGCTGATAAATCAGTGTTTTGTCGGGATAACTGCTGTGACAACGGATCGCGATTAATTTCCGAGGAATTTTCTTCGAGTCTGCGAAGCCAAAAACTTGTGAGACCCTCCCAATGTGCAGAGAGAGTCTCCCAGCGCTCGAATGCATGCGGGAACGATGATCGAGTTGGGCCATCACGACTTGGAACGGTCAAAGGCGGAGGTTGAGCTGGACCGGCTCCAGAAGATAAATTGGGTTGACTTGGAGCAGCCTCGGCGGGTTTTGATTGCGCCATTGGCAATCTGAGGGGTGCAATTTCAGGACCTGTAGGAGTTCTTGATGTTGTTCCACGTCTTTGCATTGGTTGATCGACTGGTCTGATACTTTCCCCGCCACTTATTGCTCGATCTGCGGCTCTTCGATCTACTCTTTGGGAATTGCTCGAAATTCGTGGTTGTCCTTGCTCTTCGAGTCTTTGTGCTGCAGCGCCAGCAGCTGCTCTCCTCTCTGCTTGACGCATTAATTCTTCCTCGTTTCTTTTTTGTTCGGCAGCTCGGGCTTTTTGTTCCGAAGCTTCAGATGCTTTTCGAGCTTCGCGAGCTTGTCTATCTCTCATAATATCTCTGGGACCACGAATGTGGGGCGAACCAGAGGCTACAGGTCTAGCGCCATTGCTAGCCGAGCTCGTGGCTCCTCCTAACATATCTGACATTGAAGCGTTTTCTTCAATATAATCTGGAGTGAATAGATTGGGTTGGCGTAACGCTTCTTCAAGGGTGTAAAGGATGGCACTCGCGGTATGCTTATCGATACGTGGAGGATAGGCGGGACTTTTTTCCGCTTCCGGAGAGGGACTTAATGGATGAGGTTCAGTATCGGGATCGTCTGCGATGTCATGAGTGAAGTCACCTTCACTTGGTTGTCGATGGGCGAATTTGATTTGAGGTAAGAGAGAGATTCCAGCTGAAGCTGCTTCAATGTGAGTTCTTCGCAGTGTTCTTCGCTGCTGGCGCTGTTCGGGTTTCGGCGTGTTGAGTTCGTGGGTATCGTGACGGTCGTTAGATATGGGGATGGGTGGGAGCGTCAGCTCTGCTGGATTTCTTGAATTTGGGTGAGAGGAAAACAAGGTGAACGCTGCTCAATAGAATGCCCGAAATGGGATTAAGTAGAGAAGCGTTGCTTGTGTGTAAAAATAAAGAGAAGCTAATAAGATTAGAGGATAGAAGGAGAAAGTGTGAGGACTGCTGCTAAATTTATTGATGATGTTGTTTTGGTTGTAAGTTGTTGGTTGTTGAGGCTGTCGTTTGGAAAGAAGGTCGAGATGGGGATGGAGACAAAGTACCTCCGGGGATTTGAAGGGGACGACCAAAAGTGAAAGACAGAAAAGTGAATTTCAAGAGTCGAAAGATGATAGAAGGTGGTTTTTCGGTGTGAATAAGATATTAAGAGGTTGGACGAATGGTGGGCTATTTTTAAACGAGAGAGGTGGAAAAAGAGGAAGGCTGGGCAAGTTGAATCAAAGCACTTCAACAACCAAGCCAAAACAATAGAGCTAATAATGAGAATGAATACAAGTCTTTTTTTACTTGTCGATGTTGATATCGAGAGTGAATTTTGAAAGCTGGACAGCTGGACAGCTTATTACGTATTCGCACAAAGATCTCCAAGATTATAATAAGCTTGATTGCAAGGATATTTTCTCCCTCGGTATTTGGACGATGAGAGCTCTTGAAGCGCAAATTGATAATTATCACTTCGGGACAGTGAAGGAATTGATGGAAATTGGCGAGAAAAGAGAGGAGAAGTTAGAGAGTGTATCGATGGGCTTGAAGATATCATGCTCGCACAATGATTGACTCAATTGCAAATTTCGTTTTTCGTTTCCAGGGCGGTTAAAGGAAGTACACCGTTCCCGTAGGTGAGTGAACAGTGAAGAATCGAGTACTTTGTACACATGTATGGAGAAGATGTGGGTATCCGTCAATGCGCAACGCAACGCAACTCGGTGGTTTGGTGGAATACTGGTTTCGATGAAGTTGAAAGGACTGGAGGTGTGATGTGATGTGTGTCTCAATCACATTTGAAAGAAACGGTGTACGTGATGTTGTTGCTGTATGGTTGATTCAATTGATCTAGTCAATCTCAATTATCAATTAGAATATCGAATATCGAATATCATTGATATAGTCGGATCGGATCTGAGGCTCTAGATATCATCCATGACATAGGACTCTTTGGACTCGATTTGATCTTTCAAGGTACAAAGCTCTGAATCATAACATCATTCTGTCAAACCAAGACATTCAGAAGCAAGACGAGATAGATTCTCCCTTGACGTCCAGAAGAGAAATCGTCGTTTTATTTTGAAACTAGACCTTTTTTCGGATAATGAATGATATCGGCAATTCCGGATGAAAATACAAGTATGATTCAAGGAGGTTGGAAAAGAAATATATATATGATGGCGTTGAAGAACTTTTGAGGAAGAATTATGGAATTCTGTCGCAAAAAGAAAGGAAAAAGCTTTCTTTACTCGACGCAAAAGGTCTCCCATGAAACTTGGTTTTGGGACGGGAGCTTTTAGTGCTGTGCTGGCATTGTAGCATAGCATGAGCTGCATGGTTCAAGGGGTTTAGGGATTGGTGGTCCGCTGTCCCCACTCTGAGAAAAAGTGGATGTTTGGGGTACGATGTAGATGTAGATGTAGATGTAGATTTGGAATCGATATTGATGTTGATATTGATGTTGACATTAATATTGATATATGATATATGATATTAAACATCTTGTGAAGAACCTGTCTGTCTCTGCTTGAAGAGAAGGCTATACTAAACTACCATCCTAAACTACCTTCCCATTTCCTCCCTCTTCCCTCCTCTCCACCTATAAACACGACACCTCTCTCCTCCTAGATCAAACCCCGGATAACTACCTAGTACCTTAGATCCCATCAGATTCCCAGATCAATTTCTCCCTCTTCCACACACGATGTGAGACATATTCAGGTACCCGTCCTCCCACAGACTCGTCTAACCACATAAAAAACAATCATATCACATCACATCACATCACATCACATCAAAGTGCACAACCAAACATTCCAATCAATTTCAACATCAAATTTGATATGTCCATGGATTTGCGTATATTTCCGTTTCCGCTCTCTACTTTCTCTATTTTCCTTTTTCCTCCTCTCTCCCCCCTCCTACTCCCCCCTAGAACTAGCCTAGCTACCGACAACAACGCTAAAAGATGTGATATCTAACAACAACCCGCTAAATCTTCACAATATGTTATTTCCCATCCCAAAAATGCAATAAAAAAACACAAAAGATTAAGGAAACGCTGTAGCAGATATGCCAGTCCTCTGATGCCCCTCTCCATATGCTCTCCTTGTACTTCTCCATATATGCCCAAACACCAATGATGTACAACCACCATGACTCAGCCTCCCAAACATATGAAAATGAACCCAAAAAAGAAAATACACAGCAGAGATATCTGTGTGGAGTGTTGTACTGAGTAGAGCTTTTACGCTGTAGATATGGTATAACACGCTATTTGGCATACACCATTTGCCTCCTTGTCCATCTTTATCCTTGACCGCTCGCCCATCCGCTAGAGCCCTAAGCCGCACTAGCTGAAGTCTCCTGCTCCTGAGTTTGTACCCTCTTCGACTTGTCCCTCTTCTTGCCCACCACATCTTTCAAAACCAATAACTTTTCCTCCGTAATCCTAATTGCATCTTCTACCTCTCTCTCATCCATCCTTTCACTCCTCAACCTATCCTCTATATCCAACCGCTCCATGGGCATTTTCCCCACTTCTCGTAATCTATCCATTCCCGCCCTTTCCTCTAACCACAGCCAAAGTTCACTTTCCTCTCTTCTCCAAATCTCTTCATATGCTGCGATTCTCTCAGGAGTACCTAGATAGCTCATTCCTATATCTCTATTCCCGCCACCCCCAATAGGCAATCCGAAACGGAACCAACTTGCTACTAGAAGTCCGACGAGAAGTCCATAGAGTATATTTCCTGTCATCAGTGGTTTTATGATATCGAAAATTGGCTCAAATATACCACGAATGGGCTCAAAGAGACCCCAGTTAGTTGCTTCTGGTTTAGCCTCAGAAGCGCCATCGGTAACTTTGCTAAGATTGTTTGCCCGCGAGCTTCTGCGACCTTTCTTTTTGCCTTTACCAGGAGCGCCCGGTGCCCCAGAGCGTTTGGTACTGACAGCCGCTTTGAGTGCAGCTATGACATCTTTCGTGTATTGCACTTGACCATCATTCGCGCCCTTTTCAATCGGAGCTGTTTTTAAATCAGTATGACAATACAATATGTGGGAGGATCGCATTGTACTCACTTTTCAGCCAACTCTTACCCGTCCACTCAATTGCACAATTGACTTGCAATCGAGTACCATTGCCTTCTGACCATGAAAGACAATACCTAGTCTTGGTGCTGAAAACGTTCCCGCTAGGTACATCCGGAGTCACTGTTGATACGGTTACAGAAACTGCCTTCTCAAGATCCATGGCGTCCAGAGTCTCTGTAGAGACACATTTGGTTTGCTTGGGACCAATCGCGCCATTCAAAGGCTTGATATAGGTGTAATTTCGAACTTTGTTCTCCAAGGACAAGGGGATTTTAGCGTTCTCTTCGTAAGTGAGCTCGAGACATTTTTGTTCATTAGTGAGCCAATCTCGCATCCAGGTTATAGATGCGGGTCCAAACATAAGACTATAAACCTTTCCCAGAGGAGCTGGAATGACTTCATCTGCGAGTATTTTCGCGTAATGTGTGTCGCCATCGGAACAAGTTGTTGAGGCATGTGTAGCTGGACCAGGGAAGTCTACTGCGACTGTTGGACTGGGTTGTTTACCTCCTTCCCCAGCCCCATTGGTCACAACAGCAGCGGACGCCTTTCTACTGACAACCTTTTCACCAGCTTCACTACCCACGACACTACCATCGGCTTGCGTGAAGCTCATACCGTCTTCATCGTCTTCATCTTCATCGTAGACTTCCCCGCTACCTTCGCTGTCATCCGAGGACTGTGAGATACTACCTGGACGAGAAATAGGAACGGTGCCATCATCTTTCACAGTTTTATCCCCGCCAGTCCCTTCAAGGGTAACTCCATTCAACGAGCTTCTTAAATTCGGGTGGCCAATCTTCCAAATACCGACTATGAGATCATACGTCGAATCACGACTTGTAAAACTAGCGAAAACATTCTTCGCATGTAATGTTGAAATCATCAAGCCGTTTTTGAATAGCAGTGCTGTGCTTCTCTTTTCCACTGAAATAATCTCGTCGAAGCTCATAACCAATGTTGTCACCCAACCAAAGATATTGCTACTGAAGCACAAGTGACCTTCGGAGACGTATAATCGACCATGGGCAAGAATCTCTCTTTGCAATGCGCAGCTATAATCTTCGATAAGATAGTCATCGTCGGGTACGCTTCTGAAAAGCGCGTGAAAATCCTTATTTCTCTTCTTGCTTGCCACTGCAAACCCTGTGATCTTGGGGGCCGCCGAACCTGGGCTTCCGATAGATGAATTAGCTGCAGCAATTGCTGCTCCGATTGTTGTACCAGTTGCTGCAGAGCTGCCCCTTTTCCTGTGATTAACGCCGCTTCGGATACTGCCGCTACGTTGGATACCAGATTTCCCTTCAAATACACTTCCATTTGGAGGAGTTCGATCTCCATTCGCGCTTGGTTCGTAGACAGAACGTGGACGTGCAAGAGTATGTAAGTCTTCAAGTTGAGGTGTAGCGACCGCTTCGAGATTTTCTCCAGTCAACATATTTGGGGCAGTGGCAGAACGATTCGCGAAAAAGTGGTCGTCCCTAGCGGGATCAGGCCTTCCGCGAACCTCGTCTGGATACTTCGGCATTGTTGGAGTATTTCCTTCTTCTGAAATCCCGAATTGGCTCAGACTAAGATCTCCCATGCCCAATGTCTTGACGGCTGGCTCCTTTTCTTCCATAAGATTTTCTGTATCTGTCTTCTCTCCTAATGCTTCGACTTCCGGACTCTCAATCTCCTGTATACCTGGTATTGTGTGTGCACCACTCTTACTTCTCGCCCCCCCTGGGACCGACGTGTTTGTGATACTGTTGCTCAATGTATTTGCAGCGTTCTGAGCTGCAGAGAAAACCGTGGAGAAAAATCCCGATTGATTTTGTCCTGGTGTGATTGCTCCGTTCTCTGGTGTGGGTGTCAGCGGCGCAGATTGGATATTCGATAATTTACTTGGGACTCCTGAAGCAGAACCTGATCGAATTCGTCGATGTGATATCATATTTCCAGAAGGAGAAACTAAAACATTTGCAGCGAACCTGGTAGGGGACTCCAGGCTAGTGACAGAAGTAAATTGCGGTGATCTTGTGTCCGTCGGTGTTGGAGGTGTATTAACAATAACAGGGGCCGGCCTGTTCACAGATGGTGGAGTTTGAGGACGTGGGGTTGTATCGATGGTAGTGAGTTTGCCCTTTTCGATTTGTGGCCTTTCAGGAGATGAAGTTGTAGATCGAGACTTACCGGGGGGGAACTGTTTATCAGAAAAGATTGAACCAACTTTCACATTTATGAGACTTCCCCGCCTGGAATCAGCCCCACCGTCCTTTGTATTCAGTGATTGATCAGCCCCGCCCCCTCCAGTCTTGCGTTCTGGACTTGTGTTTGTGCTTGACCCGCGTCTTGGTTTGAAGACGTCTTTGAGTCTGCCAACTGGTGAAGATGAGCGCCTTTGAGATCCGTCGATGGGAGCTCGAAGGTTTTGGGTAAGGCTCTTGGAAGCTGACTCGGACGTAGCCAGACTGTCTGTGGAATCTGCGAATGGCTCTCCTTCTGAGTGAGAAAGTAAGGGTCCGATTTGTGGAATTGTCGAAGTATGTATGAGTGGGGACGAGGAAGTAAGATATCCAGTGTGCGAAGGGTGCGTAGTCAATGGTGGAGGTGTTTCGGCGGCCCTATCAAAGCAGCAATTTGAATTAGAAACTTAATTTCTCCAAGCTAAGATCAGTTCTCCACACGTCAAAGCAAAGATGGATGCTAAAAATAGGTAAAATGTAGTGCGAGATGGATCCAAAATGGATGGAAATCGCAAATCAAGCGACTCGGTGGCAATGCGATGTCGATGTTGTGATTTTAGAGTACAACTGTGCTGCATGCAAGATTGACGATGATAATGGGGAATAAGCCTGCAATGTTGTGGTTGTGACGCCTGAGATACCCCTAATGGGTCCCCCAAACCTTTTCGCTTTTTAAACCATGTCTCATTGTAATCCCCAAACCTTGAAATAACCGCGCGGGATTGACAGACAATTGTCGGTGAGGGGAGCAAAGGGAAATGAAATAATAAAAGAAAAAGGAGAGCAAGCAATCAAATCCGAACACCTATGGGAAGAGTGGGTGGGTTACTTACGACTCCGTTTCCGAATCATATGTTAACAAACTACTTCCACCAGAAGGGTTTCTGTTGATGGGATTTCTGATATCATTCTCCAGAGTCCCTCGCTCAGCAATATATTTCCCGCGAGCCACTTCTTCTGCCAAACGTTGTTCTGCCTCCTCTCGTTGCAGTCGCTTCTTCTTCTTTTCGAATCCTTTTGGCACGAATTTCTTGAGGCTATTCGACGCATGGCTCTCCTCCTCGGAATCCGAATCTTTCTTGATTTTATCTATCACTTGCTCTAACGAGGCGCGGAAACCATGCGACACGTCACTTGCGCCGCTCCTTACTGAATGTGATGTTGAATTTCTATGCCTCCTTCCATTTCGCGATTTCGAAAAGATGCCCGTCGATTTGGACGATTCGGAGGCCGTCGGCGAGGTGGGAATGTCGTCCATGGCGGGGGTATCAGCCAGAAATCGGTAAGATTGGGTAATTGGGATCTCCCATGCACGGAGGAAGGGATCGCGGTCGACAGACAGTCTTTTCGAGATGGAGATATTGATATGCAATGTAGGTTGTATTGTGCGATATGCGAATAATAGGTACGGAGTAAGTGGTACGGTAGATTCGGAGGTTGGAATATGTAGATTCAAAGTTCTAGGTCCATGAAATGAATCCAAGATAAGAAGGTATGATGGGTGCAATCACAACCGGCTCGACTGGAACGAGACTTGATTTTGGGATGAAGTAAAGATCATTCATAAAAGTATCGGTACTATGTACTAACTATACTGTACTTTTCAATTCGAAAAACCTGACGTTATGACGCGTTAATAGGTACGATATAATGCTTGAATTGAATTGAATTGAATGGAATGGAATTGAATTTCATACGGTATGGAATAGTACAATGGTTTAAATATACGCACACCAAACCAAAGAGGTTAAATTCCAACAAACTTTCAAAGACTTTGTGATTCTCATCATCATTCCTACCTACCCAGGACTTTTCATTGATTGAGTTACATCCGCCATAATCCAGAAAGTTCAATACGCTACCTACCTTGGTAACTACCTTGCTTGCCCCTGCCTACCCAGGTACTTTACTCACTCAACACGAGCTTTCCTGGTGAATTCAGTCTCCTTCTCACGTCATTGGTAACCGAGCAGCCAAGTTATGCAAGGGAAAGAAAGTTACGGGCACCTAGTTGGAGATTTGAGGCTAATTCGATTGTCTGTCAAGGCTATTTTGCTCAAATTCATGATAGAGTACCAGTATCTATCTGGTGGGTAAATCTCAATCTTTGCTGTGTCTATATAAATAGGTGTACGTGATATCTAGCACGTACATTCGACAAGATGCTTTGAACTCCTCTGTCTTCTTTTAGCTATCTACCCGGTATGTATCGAACACCTGAAAATGGCCACTGTGAGATCATTACTTCTATCTAACTACCCACATATCTACCTACATGTCTACCCACATATCTACCTGCCCCTGAATACACGGTTTTCTTGAGTAGAAAAACGTTTCGCCGCATTTGTAAATGATCTAGAATTTATCGTACATCTACGTTTCCAATAGGGGAGAGTGTTCTAGGTCTGCAGTGCAGTATCTCCCGTCTACGGAGAACTAGCCGAGTCAGGTGGAAAGATAAGCAATGCCGACTACCCCAGACAGCCTAATCTATCCCTATCCGATCCTCACATCCAGCCTTATTCCTCCTCATTCTCCAAACGTCCACCTACACACAAACAATATTGGAATTCATCTTAACTTGACTACGGTCTCTTGAATAGAAGTTAACTGTATGACTTACACAAATTTGAATCCTTGATAACTATGGAGGCTTCCTCATTGGCGTTGGTATAGATATTTCCATCTTACGTTCAGACGTCATGATCACCTCTAACTGATAGCCAATATAGGCCCATGATCATGCTCGCGCTGCAGTCCTCGCGACGCATAGTTCAGATACAACGGTCGCAATAAATGAACATGCCTTAGCTGCAGGAGAATTTGCGAAAGCTGCATCTGGGACAGGAAGCGCAGAAGCTTCTAGGACTTTGAGACTTTTAGAACAACATCATCAGCGACTCTCAGAACTCCTTCGATACCCCACTGAACACCCCGTAACTCCGAACCCGAACGCGAATGAAGCAGAAGTAAAAGCTGTCACGGAGAAACCTGTATCGACATCTGCGGCTGTAGCAGAATTACGCTCTTCCAAATCAGACCTTGGCCCTCGCACGCGAAATACCTCAGGCGCTCAAACTCCCAGGCGCCTCCCTCCGCGCGAATTGTCTTCATCGATCGCCAGTAATCTAGCTTCTGCAAGAGGCATACGCTCAAGTCATAGTCGCCAGCCACTCTCACCAAGTATATCAGCTTTACAGGCGCCAGGTACTCTTGACGGACGTCGAGAAGGCAGTAAAAAGCCAAACGTTGCATCCATTCCAGAGCACGCCACATTGAAGCCGAGTTGGGTCCCCCCTCAACATACTCAGACGAAAGCAGATGCTCAAACTTCTACATCAAGAACATCTGCGGTTGCTGAGCCAAAATCATCTCCTGCAACTGCCCAAGATGACGGATTCTCCAAGTTCTACAGTGCGTTCAATAGTGTTGTTTATAAGTTATCGGCCCCATTAGCGTTTGCTGGCTTGCCTCTATTCTCAGAGCCTGAACCGTCTGCAAAGTCACCAGAAATATCACCTGCAACCACTCGCAAAAGTAGACCCCGAAGTAGAGAAAGGTTACCCACAGAGGAGCCTGATCTTACCAAGTACATATCCAAGGCCGCTCTTCGTGCATCTGCTCGTGATGGTCATCCAGGCAACGATTCCTTCTACGTAGTTCCCACAACGGGCGGTATGGTGTCATATGCGCAAATTCTCTCATTTGAAAAGAAAGAACAACGTCGTTTGGCAGCGTCTATGCATGGCATAGACCCGCAACTTTTCCCCGATCCAAACGATGAGGATGATTTTGTCGATGCTCGCGAAACGCCCATGCCTAGTTCACCCAGCAAATCGAAAAGCAATCGTCGTATGGCGGGTAAGGAGACCGATATTCGAATCGAAGAACTAGATCTCGAAAATAAAAGTCTCAAAAAATGTATCGACAAACTCAGCCAACGACTCCATGCTTTCGAAATGTCAGCGCAGAATAATGGTATGGCATTACAAGAAAGTATTCGTCTAATGCGACCTGATGATAGGAGTCCAGGCGGCAAATCAAACGATGAAATGGCTCGGAAAGTAATGGAGCTTGAAGAGCAAATGAAGGTCATAAATAAAGAAAATCAAAGACTGTTCCGCGATAACCAAAGGTATCGAGAAACGCTCTTGAGGTATAGGGAGAAATTCGATGCATTGAAGGCTGGGGCAAGGGGCAGAAGGGACAAGGAATTGAGTGTGAAGGAAGTAGAATCGAAAGATGGGACTGTGAAAGCAGGAAACGGGGCAAATAAATCGGTAGGAAAGGATACCAGGGAAACAGGTGGAGGGAGATTCATGGCGGGATAGGTGATCCAAACGTACCTCCACAACGTGTTGCGATATACTCTGGATTTGCTCCGATTCAATCGCTATCAAGCGTTCAGATTGTAAAGCGTCAATAGCTCTCTCGACTTGGGAGACAAACGGGTAAAAAGGAAACGGTAAAAGGTGTATATTTCGAGATCTCTACGATAGCATCAATTTATTTCATCATCTGTCGGTCATTCATCATCCATCTACAAGATCACATTACTTATAAACCATTTCATCCCATTCAATCATATCTCAACCCATATCTATCCTGTATTTCACACCTCTATGTAGGTAGGTACTTGTCTTATCACAATGATTCAAATTCTCAAATCTTAATATTCGAATTTTATTCTGTATGGTGATTTGTGCGGGTTGGTGTGTTGGTGGTTAGTACTTTATCACCTTACTTTGAACACGGGTACGTATGAGTATGAGTATGAGTATGATTGATGAATGATGATGTTGATGAATAATAAATATATAATATATAATAGACTAAAAAAGTAAACTGAAACTCATGAGACGAAGACGAAGACTGAGACTGAGACTGTGTAGAACTCGATCGCAGATAATGTGATAATGCATATATGTACCACACAACACACAGCGCAAGGCAAGGCAAGGCAACATGACAAAACAAAAGACATTCATGAAAAAATCTCAAACTCATCGTTTTTCTTCTCTAAAGAGTATTCCAGTGCCGTGGGCTCTATTGTATATATGTATGTATGTGTGTATGTGTATGTATGTATGTATGTATATATATATGTATGTATATATATATGTATGTATATATATATGTATGTATATATATATGTATGTATATATATATGTATGTATATATATATGTATGTATATATATGTATGTATATATATATGTATGTATATATATGTATGTATGTATGTATGTATATATGTACCTAGAGATATGTGTATACCTATCAAAAATCAAAACAGTATTGAAACTTCCTCTTCCGATTCTCATACTAGAGTATCTAGGTATACGAAACAGATTCTGAATTCATTTCTGCATTTCTGCATTCTTGCATTTTCACTAACCACCCCCCCCCCCCCCCCACCCAATCTACAAAAATAACATCTATCCCAAATCCCTGGTACATCTGAATATCCCCTCCAAAAATCCTCTCTCAACAACCTATTCAGTTCTACTAACTTCTCTCTTTAAAGCCTTCAGCTCATCCCCAATATCTTTTACTCCTCCGTCCCCAGAAACCCCGCCTTCATCAAAACTCATCCTCCGTCCCCAACCCTCTGGTTTCCTCTTCAAAAATGCACCCACGCTTCCAAGATATCCTTCATGTCTCAGAAACATTGCTTTTTTCTCTCCGTTACTCCAGAATTTGATCGCATAACTCAATGTATTAATCGTTTGTCTATGTCCCCTAATAAAACTACCTCCGAAATATATCGTCGACAAAGAATGTTTTTCCGATTGCAGATATGCAATTTGTCCTATATTGTTAGATATTGCATACAAGAGGGACCGGGATATGTCCCCATGGGAAAATGGTGGTTCCTCGGCGGAATGGGAAGAGCTAGACGGTTCTTCGCTGTTATTCTGTCCTCCCGAGTCTTCGGCTAATCGTTCGGCTTCTCGTTTCATGCGGAAGACTTTCCCGAAGGAACTTGCGATGGTGCTACTCTTGAGCCCGATTTTGCCATAATCTGTACCGTAAATATCGCCGACTAACATGTCGACTTTGGCATTGTCACCTCTTTCGGCCATTCCGAGCATATCGTCGAATGTTCGAGCTCCCGTCAAGAGAGATAGTAATCCCCAGAGTGTGCCACCACCCAGAGAGGTCCCGCCAACTCTTTGATATTCTCGTGGTCCGGATACCTTTATCATGGACACACCGCTTCCGATGTTGACGAGTAGATATGGGTAAATATCCGGGCT